GTTGAATGTTTCTCAAACAAACACTTTATATGTGGCTTGCAAGGATGGTCGTTTCAACGCTTATCGAAACAGTCATCCTGAAAGCTGTTTTCAATCTATATAAATTTCAACGGCACACAGTGGTGCCTGTCTTTTCTAAATCAAAGGTTATTGTTTATCCAATATTATTTGTATATCATGCACTAACTTTCCATTTGGAAGCATTATTATAGTCATTGGCCTTGCATTTCCCTTGGGTGGGGAGACCTTGCTGTTTTGTCCATTTGCGTATTAGGATAATGAATTGCAAAGTCTTTGGTGTGTAGTCCTGCCACCTTTACTGGCAATTGAACATCAATATATAATCAACATATGGACTCTAGTAGTATTCTGATGATTACAATATGTTATTAAATAAATATGAAAATAAAGCAGCTATGAATTGCTCATAGCCAAAATTTACACATAAAAACATTTTCCATTTTATTGCTTGCCAGTAAACATAGCATGGTTAAAGCGACGCCAATGGGATATCCATAGTTTATTAATAAGGAAGGCAGGACACATAATGTGAGCAATCAGACACCATGTAGACAGCAGTTCATTAGACCTTCAACGACTCAAGCTAATGAAAGTGAAGAAAATTGCTTGAACGACAACAAGGAGAGTAAGAGTGTGGAAAGAAAGCTTTGTGTAGTACTGATACTCTCAACGACTTAGTGGATATCATAACATGTAATGAACACTATCGGGGAAAGGTAATATTTACCAACACCAAAAATCAAAATAACGGGATAATATGTGGGGAATTATCAAACAAGTTGGAGAGAGCAAATGAAAAGGGAGAACAGATTACATTTATTACTTAACAGATACAAACAAATTTAACTCATTAAGTCTTATTGCGCCCCCATGCGCCCTGGAATTGGGAACAGGGTAAGTCTCATTGCACCCTCATGCGCCTTGAGTGACCCGTCAATTTCATTGGCCAATAGCGAATGATATGCATTCCCTGTTGCCTAGCAATGGGCACCTATAAAAATACCTGAATCCGCTCTTTCAAGTGAGACCTCGTGTAAGCTTGTGCAGTTCATATTGTTCAAGTTACGAGCGTTTTAAAATATTTTTTTGTGAAAAGTTTTTGATTATGGCTGAAGCACTTCGTATGTTCGAGAATAGTGAGGACGGAAGCGATTTCAAGGGTTTTTAATGGACGAAACGGTTGAAGAAACACGGCCAATAGCAGTGGGAACATCGATGGTTTCATGGCGAGACATAGCGGGCGACTCGGACGAAGAAGAAGAGGATTTTGACAATTTTCGGATATCGAAGTTCAAGAACTCAACAGCGATAGTGTGAGCAAAAGTGGAAGTGAGATAAGTGGCGATGGTTTTGATGATATTTTTGAATGGAAAGATAATTTAAGTAATGTTAGTGTTGAAGACTTTACTGCTGACTTTGGTCCTCGACATGGGTTGGGTGTAGACTTTTTCGACTTGTTTTTCAGCGATCAGTTTTTCGATCACATTGTGCATGCTACAATTTCGTATGTGCATTCAAATCACAACGATCAAAATTTTACAATCGACCGCGACGAAATGTCTGCATTTTTTGGTCTAAATATTTTGATGGGAATTAACTGACTACCAAAAATAAAACAATATTTGGGATTCAGATTTGTTCTTAGGAAATGCCGGCTTTAAAACAACAATGCCTTCCAGACGTTTTTGGATTTTGAATAGGTACTTTCATATTTCGGACCCGCGGCAGGAAAATCCAACAGACAAACTTGCAAAAATTCGGCCCCTTATTTCAAAGCTCGAAAAAGCTTTTCAAGATGTTTATGTGCCTGGAAAAAATATTTCGATTGATGAAGGTTTGGTTAAATTTAATGGTCGTTTATCTTTCAAGCAATATATGCCTAAAAAACCGAATAAATTTGGTATTAAAGTTTGGATGTTAGCCGATTCTGAAACTTACTTTGTGCCGCGCTTTCAAGTTTACTCAGGTAAACAACAAAATGCTGAAAATGTCAATGAAAATGATGCGGAAGAAGTGCGAGGTCTCGGTTTTAAAGTTGTTGATTTCCTGGGAAAACCCTACTATAATACTTACCGTCACTTCTATTTCAATAACTATTTTTCCTCGGTTCCTTTACTTGAACATTTGCTTGAAAATAAAACTTACGCATGCTCGACCTTACGCCATAATAGGAAACAATTTCCGGCCGATTTAAAAAAGATAAAACTTAAATGCGGTGAGATTCGAACATGACAAAATAAAAACTTAGTTTGCATGACATGGCAGGACAAGCGTTTAGTGACGATTGTATCGATGGATGAGCACACAGCTAAAAGAAAAGCCATTCCAGAAAATTTGTGCGTAAAACCTGCCGTTATTTCTTTTTACAATAAATTTATGAATGCCATAGATATAAATGACCAATATAGGAGCTACTACCCTGTAGGAGCTCAATCTAAAAAGTGGTGGAAATATTTGGCTTGGTTCAGGGACGCCGGAATGTGTGAAGGCAAGGGGGGCAGATTTTCTTTTGAATTGATATATACTAAGAGATGTTTGCAAAACATCAGGAGTTGAACTTCCCCCCCCCCCCCCCAAGTTCCGACATTCGTGGCTTGGTTTTTTGTGAATATTTCGATTGTAAATGATTTTATTTTGCAAAATTTCCAGACTGATCGACGCCGTCGCCTAAAACATTTAGATTTCCGTCTTGCTTTGGCAAGGCAACTTATTTCGACCTATAACGGCTACAAGAGAATTTCTAGTGGTCCAACTAGCCATAAAAAGATGTTCCAGTGGGTAGAAATGTCAAGGGCCATAGCTTAGTGAAGTCTTCAGAGCGAAAACGAGCGTGTGTGATGTGTGCAAAAGCTGGAAGGAAGCGTGCGTCGGGAAGAACTTTTGAAAGTGTGTATAAGTGTGCTCAGTGTAATGTAAATATTTGTAGAGAGCGTGCATGTTTTATGGAATGGCATCAATAAAGTTATACAGTCGAACCTCTACTTACGGACACCTCCCGGAAGCGGACACCTCTTGTAAGCGGACACTGTTTTTGGGTCCCGGCCAATACACTATTATATTACTATATTTACAACCTCTCTTAAGCGGACACCTCCCGTAAGCGGACGCGGACACCAAAACAACCTTCCCAAACAACATTATAACATTATTTTCTGTTAAATCAATAATTATGCCGCCTAGTTGACTTAATACAGTATTAGAATAGAAACATATGTGTTTGATATATTGTGTTATTAGAATGAGCTGATGACAGAATTGATACGGAAACTATTAATTCAATATTCCGTATTTTTGTTATTGTAGCGTTGCACCATTAGCAGTTACTGTTAATTTTTTCTTTATGAACCATTATAGTTTCTCACCCAACAAAGCATGTCCAGTCTTACGTATTTTGTTCCTCAACCAAGTCAAAGAAAATTGGTCGCCCCGGAACGTATAAACGCACGGAATCTCAAGTCCGTAACCAGCCCCGCGATTTATTCGTTTTCCCTTTACTGTAACACTTGCAGAGTTAGATGCACGTTTCAAAAATTTGCTTACGTACAGTGCCATATTTTTGGGTATATGACCCACAACATCAACAGTTTCATTAAGAGCATTGACATGAGATAAGCCACTGGTTTCTGTTGATCCCCGTGATGATTTAACAATTGCCAACGGTGGGGTTTTTAGAGTAAATTTGCAATAATAGCTGTCAATAATATAGTCATATTAACATCATTATTAAAAGAATCATGTTTCAACAATTACATAATCAGTGAAATATTAACCAACCTCTCATAAGCGGACACCTCCCGTAAGCGGACACCAGGTCGTGGTCCCGAGGGTGTCTGCTTACGGGAGGTTCGACTGTAGTCTCATTAATAGACAAAACCTTTCAATGCTTGCATGTTTATTTTATAGTTGTTTTTTTAAATAAACAAGACTTGGCTCTTTGCCAGGCAGTTGCCGACAAGGAGGCTTCCTTGTCGGCAGTGCAGTCAACAAGTAAACAATATTATCACCAAAAACTCCAAATTTCTACCAAAACCTGGTTTGTTTTGTTTTCAGGTGTAGATTATATAAATATTTGATATTTTCTGAAAAATTAACCAAATAGCTAACTGATTATGATGGTGATTTTTGTTTTCAAATATTTTTCATATCCAGGGCACAAGCTATTTTATATTTACATGACTTTGACTCATCAAGTTAAAAATATCCAACACAAAATTTCAGCATTTTTCATTAATACAACCCCATGTGCTTTCAGAATTTAAATCCTTGCTTTTCAAGTATTTTGTAAAACAAATATCAAAAAGAAAATGATTAAAATATCAGAATTTATAGTAAATCAAGCTTTTAAGTATTCATGCCCTAAATTACAAAAATAAATTGCTCGGAAATTAATCATTCGTAAAATTCATACACGCAGAACTTACTATTAAGTACATATTCTTTTTCAAATGACACCAATAAGTAAAAGACTGATTTAAAAAGGGATTCTTGAGAAGATGTACTTTTGCTTAAATCCAACTAAAACGATCGCAAACAACCATAAAACAAAAAACTCAAAAAAGAAGCACACGCCGTGATTGACAGTTAATGTTAGAATTATTTTACAGTCACGTGGGCTATCATGTGATGCTGCCGGCTTGCGGGGAGGGGTAGGTGCGGCAAAAGTAATTAGGGGCCGACCATTTAACTTTTGAGGAGAGGGGGGGAGTGATTTACTGCTGGCAGGGAATTTTTTTTCTGTGATAGTTATTTGCAAGATATTTTTTTCTTACCCATAACCATGTACGATTTGTTTTTGCCACTCTCTTTCGCAGCATTTTTTTTCAATAGCTTATACTGTTTAGATTCTTTAATTATAGTTAACGTTGAGTTTTCTATAGCTTCATGCATTGCTTAAAACGATCGCAAACAACCATAAAAAAAACCTCAAAAAAGAAGCACACGCCGTGATTGACTGTTAATGTTAGAATGTTATTTTACAGTCACGTGGGTTATCATGTGATGCTGCCGGCTTGCGGGGAGGGGTAGGTGCGGCAAAAGTAATTAGAACTTTATGCATAAATGATTATAACACAACTTCATTGCATGGCATCTAAAATTTTCATCGCCAATTTCCCATCGGAATGTAATGGTCACGAAAAGCCTAAACATAGAATTTTATTGTATAGGCTCATGGGGGGCATGCCCCCCCCCCAAAAAATTTGGATTTCTTGAAGCTCAGATAAGCTATTTCCAGCATTTTGAGGAGTTTTCCGACAAGAAATTAACCTTACATTAGTCCCTGAAAATCAAACCAGCTGATCTTCTGGGACTGGTCAAATCAATTCCTGCAACCATGCTGTTTTGCAACTGATAGTTAAATGGTCGGCCTCTTGGAACTTTATGCATAAATTAATGATTGTAACAAAATTTCATTGCATGGCATCTAAAATTTTCATCGTCAATTTCCCATCAGAATGTAATGGTCACGAAAAGCCTAAACATAGAATTTTATTTTATAGGCTGATTGATAATTATGAGTTAAGTTATGGAAGCTTTACTTCCACGCAAACGATTATGCAGGGTATGTCGAGCATATGCGGACCTCAAGAGGGAACAGTTAGTGAAGTTAAAGTTGGAAGAATAGTATCTTCGATATGGGGCAACAAGGCTGTGAAAACGAAATCGTCTTCGTTAACTGGATCGGGTTATAGGCATCTCCAGATGCGCCAAATAAAGCTTAAAGATAAAGAGGAAATCGTAGGCTTCAATGAAACAACTGTTGATGACATTAGAGTACTTGGTAGAAAGTTTCAAAACTGGATTGTTGATCTTTCGTCTGGGGAGAAAGGCGTCATTTCATTTTTGCGACTCTCAAATACAGGTGAAGCAGATGTAGATGTAGAAGGGTGTCGTGTTTTTCCAGGGATCACCATTAGTTTGTACCCTACGGTTAACATTGTCATCCGCACACACGGTGATGCTGTTCCAATTGAGGTTGTTGAAATTTCTAGCGAAAAAATCATCGTTTCACTGCATACGATTGAAAGGGCTTTACGTCATGTTAATGCAACCTGTCTATGCTTAGGCCAAAACCTTCCTGACCATAACGACGATTATACAAAAAGCGTGGACATTGCTGTTTAAGGCTCCCGATTTGTATGCATCAAGTCTTCCAGTGCTGTGTCAACATCTATAATTTCGAATTCATGCCTGCTCTTGATTCCAAGTGGTAGCTCCGCATGCGAAGCTTGTCAATACGCGTGCAAGTTATGTATGAATAGGAAACGTAAAAGATCAGAGCGGGCGGAATTGGCCAACTCCATAAGTGAGCTCGAGGAGAGTATAAAAGGTAACCCTGCCAATTAGTAACCCGAAAGAAAAACCAACAAGCTGCAATCAGAATTTGGCTGGAGACAAGGCGAACATTGAAATGTTGTCATTTGAAAAATGCGATAATGATGACCTACTGCAGATAACAGAGGAGATTGGGCTGAAGAACAACATCCCGGAAGACATGAAACTATTGTGGGACATGCAAATGAAGCAGTTAGCATCAAAATCTGCAAATGGTCATTGTTGGCACCCTCGGTTTGTAATTATATTTTCTCTAATAGCTCGGTTATAATGAATGTACCAGTTACAATGATTCTTTCTCAGACTGAGGGAAAAATGAAACATTTTCGCTGTTGGAGAGTATACATGTTTTTAGGTACAATACAATTATGTAGAAGATTAACAGGACAATATCGGTTCATCAACTGCCTAAATATATATATATATATATCTCGAAGAGTTGAGATCATTTTCTTCTACATTTTATTGAGACAGTTGATGAACCGATTTTCCTGTTGTTATTTAAAATTGTAATTTTTCTTTCTCGTTGTAGAATTGTCCGACTAGCACTTGATTTATACATCAAGAACCCACACGTTCTCGACACCCTTCGCCAATTTATAATCCTTCCAAGTAATCGTCTAATACGGTTTGTATTTATTTTAATGTATCATTTTACTGACTCAAAAACTTGTTCACGATTGCTGTCTGCTAACATGTTCAGGAAAGATTTATACAATAACTTTATCCTGTATCAAAACTTCGATCCAATTTCTGTCATTAAGATATTACAAGAACGCGGTAAACCAAGAAGCGGATTGGAATCAGGAGGTTATCAACTGGTGTCAAAGTGAAGCGAAAAGGCAGCAATTAAAACCAGCAGACTACTGGGGTGGTCTAGTCCTTGATGAGATGAAAATACAGGTATATATATTTGAACGTAAATCAATGGAGGACTACATGACATGCATTAAGTATAATTGAATGGTATATATTTGAGTACCTGTATGTGATTACAACTCACAAAACCTACATTTACAGGAAGATTTACAATTGACTGTACGAAACAGCAAACACCATCTAATTGGCTTGGTTTCTCTTGGTGGACTTTATGAAAATATGAAGTTAATTGAGACAGGTTACTAAAATTTAAAGAGTTATTGACCCTGTCTCAAAGAATAATAGTAAATAGTGAGTGTGCGCATGCTGGTTGCTTTGCTTTGATATCGTCTTATCAATCTCCTGTTTGCATGTATAGGAAAAACGAAAGCTAAAATGGAAGTAGCAACCCATCTGCTTCAATATGTTTTTATAAGCGACTGTGGTTTCCGATTTCCAGTGGCACACTTTCCAACCACCACATGTCCACCTACTATTCTATACATCCAATTCTGGGAAGGTGTCTTACAGATGAAAAAAGCTGGATTTAGGTACCATATGTTTCAAAGAGCCTCGTATTAAAATAAGATATAATACTTACGGCTATATGTCCTATTATTTTTTAGTATCTATTATGCAATTTGTGATGGAGGTGAGTCAAACCGACAGTTCATAAATATGCATTTCTCCTCCTTCAGTCCCGTTGAAATGAATTTCTTATTGTACAATATGCCTCCAGAGGATCCCATGATATTTTTGATGGATTGTAAAGTATACAAATTATTTCATTCTAATATAAAGGTATAATAACTATTCAATACCTAATAATACTAATGTTAGTCTTTGTTTTTACTAGCACAATATCAAAAAGTTGAGAAACAATCTAGAGAAAAGCTCGGCCTCTGGGTCAGCAAGATGCTTGAAAAATGGAGATGATCATATATTTTGGCGGTTTTGGAAGGATGCATATTTGTGGCACCAAAGTCAACATTCCTGCCCTATTCATGAAAAACTAAAGGAGGATCACTTTCAGTTAACACCGAGCTCACGTATGAGAAATAACTTGGCGGAAGATGTTCTGGACAAAAAGATGCTCTTTTTAATGAAAGTATGTGTGTATGACAAAAACTAATAACGTAATTTCATATTTTGAATAATCAAAATAACCTATAATTTGCATAGCTATAGGACAATTAGTGTGAACTGTTTATTCAATCATTACTTCTATATAAATATGTATAGGCTTACAAGAATCATTTGGAATGCTCTGAAAACCAAGAACATGCGTCGCGACTGAATGGGAGCATCATGTTCGTACAGCATACCAGTTTTATGGTAGAATTCTTCTCAAGCAAACAAGCAATCTACGACTCTAACGACACTAGACTTCAGAGTTTGCTCTCTACGTTGTCGTACTTCTCTAAGTGGAAGGCAAGTGTCTTGAAGAGTGACGAATTTGTCTCGTTCAAACTATGGTTTGATTTACAAGCCATGATCTTGGGAATGATCTCGTTAGTGAAAATCAAGCTGTCACAATTTCCAGGATCAATCATAAAACCAGCTGTTATCAATCAGGATGTAGTTGAGAATCATTTTTGCCAATTGAGGGTGGCAAACGGACAAAACGAGAATCCTACCTACCTGCTGACTCAGGCAACCCAAAATTCAATTGTCTTTGGACAAAGAACCGTCAGCAAGAAATGCAACACAGGTACAGCTGAAAATTCATCTTTCACGGAGTTACCGAAAGAGAAGTTGTTCTCCGCGAAAAACAAATGTAAAAATCAGAAGTCTAAAATACGCCTGACATTATAATTATAAATACAAGTGCAAAGAGCATCAAACACAGAAACATATTTGTACAGGGCCGTAGAGTTTCAAACACAGAAACATATTTGTAGAGCATCAAACACAGAAAAGAGAGCATCAAACACAGAAACATATTTGTACAGGGCCAGGTAGAGTGGGCCCCGGGACAATAGACCTTATGCATGATGACGTCACAAGACTTGATGCTCGCAAGGAATGCTGGCCTTAGTAGTCATCGCCCGGGAAAATTAAACAATTCAAAATGGCCACTATCGAAATTTTCCAGGGAGATGACGACTAAGACCAGCATTCCTCATGGGCATCAAGTCTTGTGACGTAATTATGCATAAGGTCTACAGAGACGTTTATTTAACCTGACGTCTTCTCATTTCATTTGTTTCCCTCAATACAACAAATGAGCCCAGGCCCATTTTGGACCGGGGGTAATTACCCAGCCTATATCCCCCTCTCCATATATACTGGCTGCTAAAAGTTCGAACACACAGATATTGAGCTATTTTGTTTGAAATATTATTGTTCAATAAAAAGATCATAATATAACAATTATTATCCATGTAATGAATAATATTGTTCAACGAAGGTTTATTTACAAACGTGTAATGCGTAGAACAGGAATTCTGTTCTCCTCCTCCTCCTGCTCGATAATGTGACAAAACCTGAGGAGATGGCATTGACTTGTGCCCAATAACAGCTTCCACCAGATTGCTTGCTAGTTTGATTTTGTTCCATCTTGACATGAACCGTACATTGTATGCATCACAAAGTTGTTGCAACTCTTTTTTACTGTACATGGCTCTCATTCCTACTGCCTTTATATTGCCCACCAAGGTACGAAGCTGCAAATGAGAGAGTTACTTGTTGCGACTTTTGTCCTGTTCGATTTGTGGCATGTGTACTTTCATTTTTTTCACGTTCGCTTTCTCCTTTTTCTGCAGAACAGCTTTCCGGTGTGCGAGGGACTTCTTTAATTTGTAGTCCTTTCGGAAATCCCGAAGGAATTGACCAACGCCCATTCTCAGGTACTGCAACACGATATCATGGTATAATTCTAATACCAAAACCTGTAACAAAAAATATTTAGATATATATGATATCACTTATGAATTATTTTTTGATTTGCACTCCCTTCGTTTTTATCAACTGAACTATATGTAGAAGGTTTGTTAGAAGAACGAAGGATCAGAATATTACAATATTTAAGACCAAACCGGGAACGTTGCGAAAAATGCAATTCAAGTCCTCCGGCGGTTTGGTCTAAGTATTGTATTATTCTGATCCGTCGTTCTCTTTAACAAACCTTCTATATATAGTTCTTCTATACATTTTTCTCAATAATGTATTTACCAATTCTTATGATCATTGAATTCATGTGCCAGTGCATTTTTAAGGATTCGTCAGTGGTGGGGCTAATTAAACTGCCAAGGGGCCCATTCTCTCCTTGCCCTCCCCTCTGAATAGTTGCGATCGCCGAAGGTGTGAGCCGAGTACCGAAGGCACGAGTCAGCTAGGATGTCTGGGGGCATGCTCCCAGGAAGTTGTTAAAATTGGAGTCTCTGAAATAGCATTTGTAATAAATTACATGCTATAAACATTCAAACACAACATAAGTTTAAGTATGCGCACCAACAAATTTTGTTTTTTAAACTTCTTTTCAATGTTAAATTCATTAACTCAATACAGATCCTAGGGCCCTGGCTTTGGGGCAATAGGCCATTATTTTTCTTCAGTGGTGGGACAGAGGAAGGGGCCCAGTGGGGCAAATGCCCCACCAGTCCATGGTATTAAAAAATGCCTTGTCACGTGCACTGTTCTTCGGAACATTGCGTTATGTATAAAATTGTAAACATCTGTTATGATTCTGTACCTACCCTTTCTTCTGCATTATCTAACCAGAAAAGATTCAGAAACATATTTTGTACAACTTCGTTCCTGGTAACTGAGGCGACAGAATCATCAATCAAGTCGGATCCAAGCTGAGCAAGTCGATTGAAATTGATGTGGTCGTTCCTATGTTGTTGCAAGAGTAGGAAAAACTCGTACGCCGAGTCAGATATGTTGAGTAGCCCACGTTCTCGGTATTGTCTTGATTCAGTAACTTGTAGGGTTTCTGGAACTTCTGAGGTTTCCTGCATGAACTGACTCGAAACAACGACGTTATCCTCTAACAGAGTGATCTTCTTCATTTCTTTGACGACCTTATCGAGGACTTCTCGTGACGTGGAATATCTGTTTTCCACAACATATCTTCGGGACTTTTCCAACAACTTATGCGTTGCCCATCCGCCAAGATACCGAATTTTTCCTCTTCCATCCGGACCCATGTCTGATACTTTCAGGGCGTGCGACTCTTCTTCCTCATTAAACGGAACAGATGTGCTGATTTCAGCAACACACATCTGGTACAAATGAAACAGAAGTTGTGCTCCCAAAATTCGCTGACCACAAGTGAGTTCTGACCAATTCCTGAGGTTAAACGCCGTAATTATGTCACTTCTGATTCGTTCGTTAGAAACAATTCGTTCAACTTTCTTGTAACTTGTGTGAAATTTGCAGCCGACATGTGCACTTCCTTTGCATTCTCTGACAGATAACCCTCGAAAAGATGAATCACCCTGCACCAAAGAACTCTAGTTAACAGTTCAAATATTTCCAGATTTGCGACTCCATATTGTGCGGCTTCTTTGATGGATTGACTTAATGTATCCACGTTTTCATCCTTTGTCAATGTCTCCAAGAAATTTTTCACAACGAAATCATCTGGTGGTTGGGTCAATGGAGGATGTTGAGGTTCCTGATCTTCTTCGGCGTCGGTCATACGTTGGAGAATTTGATTAAAGTTTTGTTTCACTCCTTGGTTTGATGCAAAATATTTTAAAATCAGTTCTTCGTGGTTTAGCAGGTCTTCATCAACCTGAATTGAATTTTCATCGTTAATCAGTGATGGACTTCTTCACGATCCAACTCACAATTGGTACTCTCCAGTACTTTATTTCTACAACACGTGAATGACGAGACAGGATCACCGTGCTGCGCGCTGTGAATTTGCTCGATATGCGCCGGTTGCTTTAGCAGAAATCGTTTCTGGAAGCCGATAACTTGAAGCCTTTCTTCGGATTTGACTCTCGACAACGCTACATACGTTTGACCAGCGTCAAACTCCTGGCTGCAATGGACGACAGCACTTTCCAGCGTAGCGCTCTGTGCTTTGTGCACGGTGATGGCATATGAAAGGCTCAAGGGAAACTGTGTCCGAGATGCTTGAACTTGCCCATGTTTCCTGTATGCGTACCAAGTTTTCCGAGGAATGGAAACCACTCCAACGTTGGGAAATTTGATCAGGAGACTTTCGTTCTTACTGTCTGTTTGATCTGCATCAATGAACGTGCCCAAAGTTTCATTGGTTAACGATTTTGAAATGTTGAATAAAAGCATTACCTTACAACCACGTTTCAGCATTAAAACCTTAGGGACAGTGTTTTTCAAGAGGCCAGTCCATAACATATAGGAATTGTGCACTTCTACAGGTAACTTCTTGAAAAAGATATGGATAGGTGGTGGTACATTGTCTCCAATATCAACACAGCGTCTTGACAAACCACGAAGATATGCTTCCGTGTCAACATCGCATACCCCCATTCGCAAACTGTCCAAAGCTTTCTTAAAATCCCCTTCAAACTCACTTTGCCTCATAATCTTCTCCAAAACAATTCTATGCGGGAAAACCGCGCCAAAAAGAACAGATTTATTGATTGGATCTCCAGGGTCTAACAAACTTTGGATCGGCTTTAGCTGGCAAAAGTCGCCTCCTAGTATCACCTGTATCCCACTAAAGGGAAGTGAATTGTTCCGAACTTTCTGATGTAGCAGATCTACGATGTGGAAAATCCGTAAACTTGACATCGAAATCACGTCCCAAACTAAAACGTCCACAGACTGTATCTGGTTGACGACATCGCTTCGCTGAAGTGATCGTTGCATGACCAACGGCGCTGGTAATTCTGCAGTTTGCAGGCCATAAAACGAGTGGACAGTCGCTGCCAATTCATCGTAAACCTTGCAAGCTACCCCACTTGGACACACAATCTTGCATACTCTCCCGCTTTGCGTAAGGGTCTTATTAATTTCTTTTATAATGGTTGACTTTCCGCATCCTGTCGTAGGAAAAGAAAAAATATATAATCCAAAAATTATTTTCAATTGTGCACGTTTCAAGCATAACCATGTCCACACCATGTACGTAATAATACTTTACTTGGTAGTACCCACCTGACTTCCCAAATATACAAAGGTTATGTCCAGTCTTAGCCGCCTTCAATGCATCTTCCTGCCCCTTAGTCCACATTATTCGTCATAATAATCAGCCAATCAGCCTATAAAATAAAATTATAAGTTTAGGCTTTTCGTGACCATTACATTCCTATGGGAAATTGGCGATGAAAATTTTAGATGCCATGAAATGAAATTTTGTTACAATCAGTTATGCATAAAGTTCCAAGAGGCCGACCATTTAACTATCAGTTGCAAAACAGCATGGTTGCAGGAATCGATTTGACCAGTCCAATGATTTAATCCAGATTTGACCATTGGTTTGATTTTCAGGAACTAATGTAAGGTTAATTTCTTGTCGGAAAACTCCTCAAAATGTTGGAAATAGCTTATCTGAGCTTCAAGAAATCCAAACTTTTCAGGAGGGGGGCATGCCCCCCATGAGCCTATACAATAAAATTCTATGTTTAGGCTTTTCGTGACCATTACATTCCGATGGGAAATTAGCGATGAAAATTTTAGATGCCATGCAATGAAGTTGTGTTATAATCATTTATGCATAAAGTTCTAATTACTTTTGCCGCACCTACCCCTCCCCGCTAGCCGGCAGCATCACATGATAACCCACGAGACTGTAAAATAACATTCTAACATTAACTGTCAATCACGGCGTGTGCTTCTTTTTTGAGTTTTTTTATGGTTGTTTGCGATCGTTTTAAGCAATGCATGAAGCTATAGAAAACTCAACGTTAACTATAATTAAAGAATCTAAACAGTATAAGCTATTGAAAATAAATGCTGCGAAAGAGAGTGGCAAAAACAAATCGTACATGGTTATGGGTGAGAAAAAAATATATTGCAAATAACTATCACAGAATAAAAATTCCCTGCCAGCAGTAAATCACTCTCCCCCCTCTCCTCAAAAGTTAAATGGTCGGCCCCTAATTACTTTTGCCGCACCTACCCCTCCCCGCAAGCCGGCAGCATCACATGATAGCCCACGTGACTGTAAAATAACATTCTAACATTAACTGTCAATCACGGCGTGTGCTTCCTTTTTGAGTTTTTTTTTATGGTTGTTTGCGATCGTTTTAGTTGGATTTAAGCAAAAGTACATCTTCTCAAGAATCCCTTTTTAAATCAGTCTTTTACTTATTGGTGTCATTTGAAGAAGAATATGTACTTGCTTTGTCTACATGGCTGGGATCGAATTGCTTTTCAGTGGACCTCAGTCTGGATGAAAATGGATTTGCTTTCACAAACAGAGCGTTTTAAGAAATCATGCATCGTTTTAAAAACACTTGTGTGGACATTGAAACGCATTTACTGTAATAATAATAAACATTTGGATTTTGCCTTTGGAACGGTTATACGGTTGCATGGTTTCAACTTGGTCGCTCGGAAAAAGGAACATTTGTCAGACACTCCAGTCTGCAATCAATCGCCATTTTACTCGGTATATAAGTGAGTTTTAAAACAATCTCATATAAAGTACAGCATAAATGTTCAATAGCCGTCTGATGTTTGAAATACAAATTTCTGTGTGGCCTGAATCCGTAAATAAACTGATTTCCGAGCGTGCAATATTTTCGGGATAGAGTGAGTCCGTCGTTGGCGGCGTATAGCCGGTACAGTTGTTTTCGAAATATAGGCATAAAGCTATTGTAAAATGCCGGCAATCAAGTTTAGTTCATATACATAACATAAAATAGCTAGGCTGAATAGACAGGCTTTGCTCATGCAACTTGTCCTTGCGTATATTTAATATAAATTGTTGCACATGCACTTTAACATAACAGGATTCTGCCATTGTTCTCCCTTTATTAATAAAACAAACACAAGTTTGCAGATTATTATAACAAATATTTTAAAATTAATAAAAGATATAGAATTTCATTTACCAAACCAAGCACTTTCTCCTGGACCAAGCTTCTTTCCTTATTTTTGGATTGTTTTCCATTCAAACTATTAATGAAGTTTGTTAAAAGTATTTAAGTTTTACGAGTTTCTCTTTGAAGTACCGTACATTCATATATTTTATCATTTCGCGAATAAAAATACGTGAAATTCATGCGCTATTTTCTATGAGATAAAACTTGCCTTTTCTAATATCCTCACATTTTTATTTCGTGCTTGAATCGATGATATTTTTTAAAAAAAATAGCGTTTTATTTTTAATAACAAGTTTCTCCTTGGGCTTATATGTATTTTATTTATATACAAATACGAAGTAAGTTCGGGAGTGAAAATACGTGAAATTCAGGCGCTATTTTATATGAGAAAAAGCAAAAGACAAATGGAATTTAGCTATCAATGTTGTCTCTTGCCTTCTTTAATATCCTCACATTGTTATTTCGTGCTTTCTAATGCTTTTTTAAATAATGCAATGTTTTGTTTTAATACAAGCTTCTCCTCTGTTCGCCATGTAGTATAAATGTCTTTACGAAGTGAATTCGGGAGTGAAAATACTTGAAATTTAGACGCTATTTTATATTAGATAAAGTAAAAAGCAAATGCTATTTACCTGTCAAAGCTGTTCTTGCCTTCTTTCAAAACTTTTCTTATTTCGCGCTCGCGCAACAAGGTATTTAATTTTTTTCCTCTTTGTATAAATTTCCTAATCTATTTGTGACTTGTTGCTTTTGGAAATTTTTTAAGAAAATCCCCCCGCTGGCGGCGAGAAATTTGATGTTCCCGCAAAAAGTTTGTTTATTTTATCTAGCCAATGGGATCTTTAGGATCTGTGACGTCAGGCAGGTTTTGTGCATCCCAACAGCTGATCGCCATTTCAAGCCCGAAACCGTTTATATTTCCTCAAAGTTCTCGTGTTTGCAATTGTTTTAAAGCGAAAAAAATACTTGTCAAATGCTTTAAAGAAATCAATGTTTATTTAGAGTTAGTTTTTTTTCTAAGTTTTTGTGTTTAAGTTGGAGTATTTTCATGTGTAAGTTTGTGTATATAGATCGTATAGGTCAAACGCCGCCCGGAAGTTGCCAACCTTTTAGTATATATATACCTAATCATTGCGATACGCTTCGCTTGCGCACGGCTGCGTTGTTATGCCAGCGGTTGAGTGACCATGGCTATACTTCATGCAGTTAATGCTATAAAGCTTATCAATGATAACAGCTATAAAACGATAAAACCAGCCGCTTATCGGGCAACCTGTGGTGAGAGCTATTCTTGCTGCATCTTTTGCTTTTAGAACAACGTGTTTGGCGACTAGATTTGAAAAGAACGGCAGGGGTCGAGCAAACAATATGGCGAAAACAATGAAGCTTATGAAATGGAACAATAAAGCAATTTACAGGATACTTTTTAACCTCTCTTTATCTTGGGTATCCATTTATATATGTTAACATATCAAAGATCTTTCTTTTCAATTTTAAAATATTTTCAAACGTTTATTTTAACAAAGGATTTCTTTACATTATTTCCGATTTATATGCAATTTTCGCCTTTCTTGCTCAATAGCGCACCCAAAACAAAGATTCAGGGGGGAGTTTAAAATAGGGGGGTGTATATAACCAATACCTGACTCAGGGGACCCATGACGGTAGGATTTAATCAACCATGAGTTAGTGTAAATAAGATAATGCTCGGAGAAGCGAGGTGAACTTGGGCACATATTACGCAAACTATTTTAACGCAATTGAATTTCTAGTTTGATATTATTGTGTGGAGAAGATTCATTTATTCATATTCATCAAAATATTTATTTTTAACGATAATAAAGCAAAACTATATTGCTTCAAATTGGGGGCATTTAAAACCGCGCGAAATTCGCATGATAGGGAATTGGGAACTAATTACCTGCTGTGCCGCCGGAAACGAGGAAAATATCCTAGTAACTGACCACCGTGATGGTTGGAAATAATTGTAAGCGGTTAAAATTCTTTCCTGCTTGCTAGTTTTAGTTTCTTTTGTATGTTTAAAGAGGAAGAAATATTTAAAAGCTTAAGTAACTGCGGAACTTTATCTTGCCACCATTTACAATTATATACTTACTCCTTCATTTAAAAATGTCCTAAATTTTCCTGAACACGAACCCTAAAAGGATCGAGATGAAGTCAGATCTTAATTAGTCTTTCTCTTATTATTATTTTATTGAACGTTCTCGATAGAGATAAATATTAAGTCAGAGAACGTTAAATAAATAATGTTTCAACCTGGCTACGCATCCTCTATTTTTTCAAATAGTTTTTCTTTGTTTACATGGCATAATTATGCGTTGTGTTCTTTATATTAACAGAAAAAGCTTGAGTTTTGATAATTAGATTTAAATCTTCCGTTCATCACAGACGTCGACTATAAAACAAGTTAGATTACTATTTTTACACCTACTCCCGACAGGTTACGGGCATGCATACTTGGATCTCGTTCTTTTCTTCAAAATTACGCATATGGTTTGGTAACACTAAACATACCCACGCATTTCCACTCGTTTCGATTACTCGCAGATCTACCCGATCAACTTCAACTAACACAGCGAAATATGCTATTCTAATTGTAAAACTACTACCTACCAGACACCCTACCTTATTAGATCGTAGGCTATCGAATTTCAGACATGTTTTTGCTCTCATCACAGCCACAGGATAAATAAATTAATACAAAGCCCGTTTGAATTACATTGACTGTCGCCAATGCTTTTCGAATGGGTTTTGCTTTATTTACTTGAAAAAGGACAAAGCGAAAACATGTGATACTTCACCGGTTTGCCGTAAAAAACAAACTTCAATTGTGTATAAATGAAAGTTAATTGAAGGTTTAACTTCAATTATATAATTATTCATTGGTTTTCAAAATAGATTACTGTTATTATTATTATTCAAAGAAGTATTCACGGAGATTGTTTTTGAATACCTATTTACACAACGAATAGTTATATTAAAATTAAAATTTCTATTTATAGCGTTTACCTTATTATAGGAAATTAACGATGCACTTTATTAACGCGGATTTTAAAAATTCGCGTTAATTTAATTAATGTTAATTTATGTGATCGTTAATTTTAAGTATGTAATTTTCATTTATCGTTAGTTAAAAATACCTAGATTTGTTTTACATAACACTAACTCTTTTAATATCAAAATACAGCATAGTAACGTAAACTAAAAACATCAGTGCTCCTCTTAACATAAACCTTTGTTGTTGTTGTTGGTGTGTCTATATTTTCTGATTCGCGTTAATTTAATTAATTTGTCAACCATGGAGATCAGATTCGCGTTAGTATAATCATGTTTTAAAAGACCTAGAAGCAATCCGCGTTAATTTGATGTCGCGTTAATTTATGTCGCGTTAATAAAGTGCATCGTTAATTTCCTATAATAAGGTATTTAAAATCTATTTATCTATGAGCTACGAAGTATAATTGCATATTTATCATTTATTTAAAGATAATCCTGATGTTTTCCACAAAACCAAATCAATAATATTTACGCCATAGGTAGAAGGGAGGGACGTAGCGAAGACTTTGCCATCCAGGGTAGGGGGGGGGGACGGATCCAAATTACTTGATTTTTAAAAGTATTTTTACGTTACCTAATTAAACCAGTTTAGTGCGAGAATTTAGTGTGTCTTTTCCATGTGTACATTCAAGTATGCAGGGTTTCAAACAACAGGATACGGAACTAAATCCAAGTAACCTTAATCTAAAAAATTTTGAAGCCCGGAAATGCAACTAAAATTTGACATGCTTTGCTTGCTTTCCTTTTAACTTCCACGTTTGCATGCCAATGGCAAATTGTTATAATTTACCTGAAAATCAGCTTAAATTACCTAGAAATGTACCATGAAGAAATTACACTTCATCTACACCCCCTCGTCCGCGGTCGCTACGTCCCTGGTTACAGGCCCAACACCGTATGCCTAACAGGTGGGAAATTTGCTGTCGCTGGCCAGCAAATTGCGAGCGCTAGTGAAAATTTTGTTTTAAATTATTAAAATGAGCAAAAACAAGTTTTTGGGCTTCTCGTTTGGGACGAAAACAATGGATGTGCAAGAATATAAGTTCGTTCATTCAAAGGCTGTTGAAAAATGTCCTGGATAAAAGACTTTAACCTGAAATCGGACAATTATAACTATTTATTTCTACGACGAAACATTGAGGAAATTTAACTTTTTTCGAAGATGCAAGTTGTTTTCGCTCCCTGGATAGATGAAATTAAAGAAATAAACTTAGGATGGGTTCAAAATTTGTTTTTAACGCATTTTTCTACTCAGAAATATCTTTAGAAAGTTTATTTATGATTAAATCCTTGAAAACTCTTAGTGCAAAAATCGTGATTTTGCTGAATAGGTAATAGCTAAATTTTCAACTTAAGATTGTAAAAAATCTAGTCGAGAGCCTCAAAACGAGACTATCTCTAAATTATTCTTCAAAGATTTCTTAATTCACTAATCAAAATATTGTTCATATGAAAATACGGGTTGATACAAAAAACGGCACAACCGTCTAATATAGTCTGTAATAGTCTGAATAGGTGCATTCACATTCTATAAATGCGATAAAACCTGCCTATTCAAATTTCGCAATATTTTCCGCTTTAAAAGAGTAATATTGAAGCATAAACTGGTCTAATTGTTTTAAAAACATGCCTAAGCCACGACAAAGTATTCAAGGTAAATGTTTTTCGTCTTTGTTTTGTATTTTTTTTACATTTGTAGCTACGAAATTGGCGTCCCCAATTTTAACGAAATTTGCGATGAATTTTTCACTGTTTAGTGCTTCAAATATTTGCCAAAATTGACTGGGAATACCTAGAGATTTCATCGTAGAATGGCAGAGTCATATTTATTTGCCCTTTGACTAAAATGTTTAGCTGTATTATTGCTAAACATGCCGTTTTTGAGAATTTGGTTTGCAACTAGGTTTCAACAACCAACCACGCCATCAGCCCATTAAAAACATTAGGTCACGTCAGGTAGTTTCCTATCCACTTATTTTATTATCCATGATATTATCTTGCAACTAAATTGAATCTGAATTATATAATGTAATATTTACTTTTACAGGATCTAATTTAGATAAGCAGAGAAGTTGAGTGTGGAAGAACAAAAGATTAAGGAAATCTCGAAACAGTATGAGAAACTTAAAACTCTGCTTAATCAAAAAACCCAATCTCGAACACGTAGACTAAACACCGGCACTACTTTGGATACAATCAACAACCCTAATTCTGGAGTACGCTACCAAAGACGAGGAGAAACCAAAAATGTCCTCGAGTTCATCCATGGTGGTGAAAATGGAGCATTGCTTGGTGCGTGGGACTTTGTGTCAGCAGAAGCACCAAAGGCTATGATGGAAAACCTCATTGGTAACTATAGGAGAGGAAAGTATGTGGAAGGGATAGTAAGAAAAACAGTGAAAGATTATACACAATCTAAAAACACATTGTCGGAAGCTATAAATCTTAAATATACTAATTTTTTATCCCGTAGAAAATTTAATGTCCTTTGTAAAACTTAATTATCTGTTTTTGATCCAAATAAGAATGTGTGGATGCCAAGGAATGTTAAGTGTATGGGTATTGACATTCAACTCTCGCTTTCCCATATATCTAATGAAAGTATTGAGAAATTCGTCAAAACCCTAGATATTGGTTGTGTTTGTCAAATTCCTGATGTACCTGGTGTCACTAGGACAATTACAGGCCTCGTATTTATGATAATGGACCTTCATTTAAGACTTCCTCATCTCTGCCAGCAGCTTGTCTGGTTTCATGGTAATGCTAACCACTTTGTTTTCCAATTCTCAGATGATGGAGCTCCTGAAACCTCTCAGCTTTCTATGTCTATTGGCAGTGTAACTTTTTGGAACTTAGGCGAAAGGGTGAGAAGTAGAGAATATCAGTATCTTTTACATTGTGTAAGTCTAGCTGAGAAGCATGAAGCTCTTCAATCTCTTTGGCATCAGCATACTCAGGAGATGCTGTTGTTAGAACCAAGTGTTTTCACTGTGTCAGGTAAAGAGTGCACTATTGAGTTTCAACCAAGTGCTGATATGAGTTGGCAGAGTTGGGCCTGTAACGAAGTTAACCAGGCAGCCACTTATCCTTCACCATATGCCAATGTTCACAAGGGCAATATGTGCTTAATGGGTGGCAGTATTGGGCAAAGTGATGTAGATTTGTGGAAGCCTTATACTATGACAGAGCGTGAGAAACATCCAGGTATGGTTGACACATACCTTGCCAGCCTACCCAAAAGTTTAAGTTCACCAACAGTGCATAGCAAGAAGTTGGCATTTACTGCTGATAACGGGATACGTCAGTTAGGAAAACCCAGAATTGGGATTTTTGCTGACTGGGTTAAACCTGACCCCTTGCACTGTGAGATAAATGCCTGGCAGCACATCCTTGATTTACTTTATTCTGAATCACTTCTACGATGCTGCTTTGAAAAGTTTATTGAGACATTATCAGCCCCCATTGGACCGAGTGATCAAAATTCTCTCATTGAGGAATCATCTGAAAATCATGCCACTCCTAAAAGGGCTGTTGACCTCATAGGGGAGGGTGTTGATAGTGCTCTTGAATCCACAGGCACTGATGTTATTAATAGAAGTTCTGCAGAAGAAGAGATTGGAGTGAGTTGCCAAAACTCAAGCCTTTCGCCAGATATGCTTAGACACTCTACTGTCTTGGAGTTGAGCAAAGATGCTGCCTCTGACAACATGACGGCAATGCTGGAGACTTCAAGATTTGCCTCTTCAAATAACCTTTCTAATTGTGTGCACGGATGTGGTCTGGCATTCCTCTCGACCAAGGTGAGAGAACATTACGCAGATGAGGCTAAGCGGTCGAATAAACTCAGTGTTAGGCTTATTGGAGCACAAGCTATTGCCCTGGCAAGGTATTCTTACCGAATTGTTGACTCCTTGCAAACAGCAAATGAAACTGAGGGTGAAAAATTACGACAACTAGCTCTTGGAAAGATAGTACAGTACTTGAGAAATGCTGGAGGATTGTTTAACAATGTTTATGTTAACATTCCGGGAGAGATTTCTCAATTAAATGATTTCTGTACACTTTATTTCAACTTGTTGGTGCTATTCTTTCCACACAGTGTGAATGAGACTGTTTGGACAGTTGCTTATGCTTTGCCTTACCATGCGAAGCAGTTGTATGAAAAGTATGGAGTTGGGTATGGTATGCTCTCATTACAGGCGAAAGAGTCAAAACATGCTGGACTAAAGGGTGAACTTTCTATGACAAATCGGTCTCGTAGCACTGATAAGAATGGAAAGTGGTGGCAATTAATGAGATCAAATTACATCAGATCTTTCTATTTGCCTGAGCACCATGCATCCTTCTCCGCCCTCATAGAACTCACATTTTAAATCCCGTAAACCCCCTCATTGTGACATACCAAGATTCTGTGATTGTGGAAGAGAGAAAGATGATATAAACCACACAGAATGCAAATTCTGTTGTGAGTGTGCCATTGTTGTCACATGTGCTCAAGAGCAAATGCTTTTGCCTGAGGTTGTTGCTGTTCTAAAGCCCTGTCTATGTACTGTGTGCGACAAAAGGTTTGCTGACAAGGCAGGGTTGAAGGTGCACCAAGACACCATGCATGGTTCACGATCTTCCACGTTGGTGAATCCTCAGCAGTCATTGCGAACTTTGTCTGCAGATCAACTTAAATGCCTTTTGCGGGAAAAGGGCCTTTCTGTTTCTGGCAAGAAAAGTATTCTGTTGACACGCCTGGAAAGCGAACACGCGGGAGAGTTTTAGTTGTCTTACTTAATTCCTTGTGCTGTAATGCAGGTTTCTGTAATTGTGTTGTTTTGGGTGAAGCTTGTTTTTGATGTATGCTTGTGAAGGATACTTTTGGTTTCTGCAAACTTAGGTTGGCATGCACTTCTTGGCTGCCAATGTTGGGTCGAGTGTTTGGTTGGCCAGTGTTATATCTTATACTAGTATGTCATATAATTAGTTAAACCATGCAGGCAATCATATAATATCTACTGTACCCTACCGTACTGTATATAGAAGTAGGCTTTTTCTTTCATCCATTTGGTTGTATTATATAATTACATACCTCTGATCATAAACAAGAAAATTGTTGAGACTAAAAAACAAACGTTTTGCAGATTTGTTAAAGTATTATATAGTTTTGTTTTGTACAAAACAAAATGTAACATTATTTAGGCCCCCCAGTTACACGATACCGGATTCGTATTGGAGCTACATCAATTTAAGGTGTTTTCCATTCAAGTGTATGCTATTACAACTTTTCATATTTGAAGTTTCTGTTTCATTATGTTATGTTATCATCATTTTAAGTTGCCAAATTCACCTCAAAACAGTAAAATTTGATGTCGCTCCGATGCGAATCCGGTATCATGTAACTGGGGCCTTATTGATGCACAATTTTTTAGATGAACAAAATTATATTTTACTTTTGCTAAATCTACAAAGAACTTAATTTATATGTAGTTTTCTAGATGAAAAAGCTCTCTTTTAAAATCCACATATATTTTTATAATCATTTTGTGAACTAAAATGCATTATTCAGAACAGATTTGTTTTCACAACCAACATTTTTTTTATTTCTTGTATTAATCCATTAACACTCCCATTGCCTTGGAGTTACTGGGTTAAAGCAAACCTGCGCATATTTTCATAATGCAAAACTACTGAACCCTGAATGGTTTATTTCCGAGTGTGAATTTAATGTTGCTGTTAACTTGTTTTGTAGTAACAGTTTGCAGCATAATTTTTGTCCTAGTCGAGTAACATTTTCTTGTTTTTGGTACGGTATTTACAATTATCCTCAATGCACGCAGCCAGACAATGCAAAAATGGCCTAATATACTTTAATGTTATAATATTCAATCAAGACATGAGATTGGGCCATTCCAGAAAACATCCATACCCCCCCCCCCATTCAGATGTCTTCATTTTCATTCAATTACTGTTAGAAGAAACCATTTTTTCTCCGGACAGCAGAAATTTCCTCTCTGGCAGGAGTGTGGATTTTTTTTAGAATGATCGATTGAGGCATGAATGCCACTATTGAATATAGGCAGTCATGTATTGAAATTTAGTCATAATAGTGATTTTATGTAAATTTGAATCTTCAGTGCTAGGAACAAATATACTTCAATTATTTTTAATATCAAAAAATACCTTTTTAGTTTACATCATCAACAATAATATAACAGATGAATATTTAAATTAACAACTTTAATAATTTTCAAGACTTGTAAACAATTATGAAATAAAGAGATAAATTTGCAAATTGCAGTTTAATTTTATTTAAATGGTATTTTTCACCAAATTGAAACTATAATTGAAATGCAACTATATCACATGTATATGTTGCAGTATTTCAATGATACATACTAAAATATTGATAGTTGCTATAAATCACTAATTGTGGGCTGAGATGCAATAAAGGCTCAAACATTTCATCTATAATGCACAATTAGTGATTTACACAAAGGTGCAAGTATGGCGACTATCAATAATTTAGTTTTTCTCACATGCACTGCAACAAAGTTTGCATTGCATATTTATTGCTGAAACTGCCAGGCTGTACTTCCTGTATCAGTGCCTGAAAATTTTCTTTTGTCGAAACAAGTTTTTTTCATAGTGAATAGGGCTGGCTAGCTAGTTAAATGTAGGTTACATATTGTTACTGAATGGGTTGCAATTAGCTTAATTTCGCAGTTAAAGCGGTGTTAGGTCAGGCCTTAAAATATCAGTCGGTCACAGACATTGTCCAACCCATTCGTGAAATTGTCCAACATAGTGAGGAAACCACCGGACATTCTATCCGACCTAATTGGACCTGAGGTTTATTGTTTGTCCGACCCGAGTGTATTGGTGTCCGACCGAATGGTAACTTTGTCCAACATAAATCAAAATGTCGCCGGCGGCGAGCGAAATGGTGAAGTGGAAAACAAACTTAAGTGTCGACATCTTACTGTTGTTATTGGCATGCAAGTTAATTTTGGCTTGGAAATAAGTATGAATGACACAAGTTATTTAATTAATATCCTCACAACACTTACAATTCAGAATTAATACATTATGCTGATATTTGTGTCAGTCAGACTTATTTCCGAGCCAAACTGAACTGAAGGTCATCAGACATCATCATACACATGTCCTACCCAAACTCTAAGTCATCGGACAATTTGTCAGACGGCCCTGTAAAAGATATTTTAAGGCCTGTAGGTTGTGGGTAGGATATCGGTTATGCATTCTGTAAGCATGTATAGCTCTGCAACCTACAAGCATACTAACCAGGCAAATTAATAGAGTGCCCGTAACCATACTGTATGTGGGTGAAATCATAGTAAATTGAAGTTTTTCAACACATATTTATATTGCATTAGGCAAAAACTAGAGCTTTGTGTGAGCCACTAGTACCTGGGATGAAATTACCTTTTGGCAACTGGCATAATTATAAAAATAATTTGCATATATAGTTTGCATCTCAGAAAGATAGAAAGTTTAAACAAGTTGGTGTATATAATCTAACAGTGCATTAACTTTAGTATTGATTCAAAACTGCAATAGGCTACATTAAATAGCTTACGAAATTCTAGATTACTATTTGCTCTGTATTTGTATTCATGCACCGGTTTATTATAGTGTTAGTGTTTATACTAATCAGTCGATCATATTGTATAACATATACCCATAGTTACTTGTTGATCAATGCTTGCAGTCTCAAGTCCAAGCAAAAGTCTTCCTTGTTGTAACGCTGAATATAAAATGTTAAAGTAAGTTTCTCTTGCTTCATATTATAGTCGAACAATATTGGCGTTGACTTCCCCACAACAACAGCAGCCCTTCCTGAATAAACCAGAATTTGGCGGCCATTCTCCCTCTCTTTATTAAAATATCTCTTCTTCAGAAAATTAATCTCACCGGTGAAAAAACTTTCGTGGCGGTCTCGAACGACTCAATAGTCACAGTAAGGCTCGACCTGCTGCTTTGCATATCACCACCAAAGCCTACAATGACATTGCATAAATGCCGAAATATTGTGTATGGCACGAACAACTTCACTGGTGGCATAACCCAGCCGGCACACGACGTCGAAATTTCGTCGAAATGAAGTCGAGACGTCGATCGACTAAATATCGACGTCGTTTCGACGTCACCTTCACGACGAATTATATACGTCGTATAATCAACGTTGTTTCGACGTCGCTCTGATAACGAGTTATCGACGTCGCAAAAACGACGTTGTTTCGACGTCGTTCTGACGCCGTTGTGGCGACGTCGTATCAGTGATCAAATTTAATATAAATACTATAAATTGGGTGAAGCCAAGATCGAGGCAAAAGAGTGTACTCTTTTAGGTATACTGAAACACGCGTGAATTTTGTGAGGTTTTCCAATCAATGTTTTTCAATTTTTGTACACTCTTTTTTAGTGACAAATACCCCACTTAAAAACTAAAGGAAGGATTGATGCAAGTGCAGTCTATAGTATTCGATGTTTAGTCCAAAACATAGATAGTTCATAGTTGGTGTTTCTACGCGGGATTTGGAAAAATTTGTACTCGTCAAATAACTTTGCTTTTTTGATAAAGTGTTTCTAAAATTTGCTCTGAAAGACCACTTGATGAGCCGAACTTAAAAAATGATCGCCTGACAAATTATAAAATTATAAATATATTCAGCAAATTTCCGCGTAGTGGCCTCGCTAGTTCAGTTCACTGGATTTACATGAACTCCAGTTACACATTGAGCGCACCGAACCGCCCTTAATATAACAGAGGTCCACCCCCCATCGAAGTGTGATGTTTTGTATTTGAATTTTTGGCGGTGGGACACAAGTCTTTGCCGATTTTTTGTATCATTTTATGTATATATCAAGTCTCGTTTATTCGCTGAACTAAATGGATCGTATTCTCGTAATAAAGCGCAATATTCGGTGAGTATTTTTATATTTTGTAGCGACTTATTTACACTTCAATTGATTGTGATTTGTGATAGATTTGATCGCATATATAAACATCATAGACACATATAAAAATCTATTTACTGTCGTTCCAATTGAAGTGTTGCTCAAATATTGATTCAATACATTACCTCGTGCTGACCAATTCATTTCATCAAGTTCCTCGAGATATTCATACACTTCCTAGTATAATTGTAAACTTCCTGTTGAATAGTTTGAATGCACCAATCACCTTTGTTGTTTGTGCAACTAACCAATCATAAATAGAAAGGAAGTGACCAGAAATGATCAAATACTTGGAATTAGATCTTTCACAGGAAGTGTATGAATATCTCTAGGAACTTGATCAAATGAATTGGTCAGCCAGAGGTAATGTATTGAATCAATATTTGAGCAACACTTCAATTGGAACGACAGTAAATATCGACCTAATCCGTATTACAGATGATATTTCTTATAATAGTTTTCTAAATGACAGTCTATTTGTTATTATATTTTAGAGTGAAGAATTTTGCTTATTTTAAGTATGGTATTCGGACTACTTTCCTATGACGAACTCCAGGCAAGGTATGCATCTTTTATCTTTATACAGTAGATCGAATTTCTCTCTTGTTTATAAATCATACTGTAGACTGCATATATATTAAATGAAAATGTTATGCTAATTCTTTGCCAGTATTAACAATATAATGGTGCTAAGGTTACATTCATATATTAAAAAATGAGCACAAGAAAGGCAAACACTCACTGATTTATATTTAACCAAATTATCTGCTAATGGCAATGTTGGCCAAATTTTCAACCATTACTGGGCTAGCCTGGTATCTCACTTGACTCAAACAGGGTGCCCGATCAGCCAGGCTGAAAATATTTGCCCATGATGTGAAGTCCCCAGCCTTCATTGAGTTTACATCAGACATTTGCAAATACTTTTCTCAACCCGTTGCCAATGTCTTAATTGAAGAGGAAAATAAACTAAATATAGCCTCTATCTCTACATACAAGTATGATCTAAATCATATACAGTACAGTAATTATTTATCATTGCCACTACTATTATGCTATTCCATGCCGGCCCAATATTATTGACCGTAGACTATTGACTGTAGTAGACCTTGTATGTAGATTCAAGTATGATCTAAATCATCTACAGTACAGTAATTATTTATCATTGCCACTACTATTATGCTATATTCCATGCCGGTGTCGCAGTTGATTTGGACCTCCCGGTCCAAATCTACTAGTGGATATGGACCCCCGGGGGTCCAAATCTACTAGTATATATGGACCCCTGTTGGCGGATTTGGACCCCTTCAAAAGTTAAATATATATGACTTCAAAACTTAAATATATGTAATGTGAACACAATAATATAAACCAAATTCATAATAGCGATAATCTGAAGTATTTTATCACTTTTACCACCAAGTAATGATAAATTATTGTTTACTTAATAATTTTTCATTTTTTAGATGCTCAGAATGCAGGAAATTGCATTTCCGGGTTTCAAATTACAAAAATTTTCTGGGAATTATCTCTCTAATCGGTAATGATAAATTACGGTTAATATTCTTTTTTACTTTTTGTGCATTTTCCCTTCTTTTATTTCAAATACAAGTATAGTTAGCATAAATTTTAGAGCAAATTTGGATGCTCAGAATGCAGGAAATGGCATTTCCGTGCTTCAAATTTCAAAAATTTCCTTCGGGAGTACATTCCCACCCCCCCTCCCATTCATGCGTGGCATATTGGCCACACATGTTGCCTCCAGCCATTGCTATCCCCCTCTAATATATTACCTCACAGAAAGGTCCCTTTTCAAAAAATGCCCCTCCCCCGCTCGGGAAAATCCTTAAAAAAGGCCCTGTTGGTCGTGACCTGGGATAGTTAATACTTAAACATTAATTGGTTAACATGCAAAATTGAAAAGCGCAGCTTAAATAATAATAAAAACATTCATATATATGCTCGTTGATATTTCACAATATCATCGAGTAGCCTGAAATATCAGGCATTCTAAGGTTTCAATAAATAAACATTCAAGATTTACTTGGCAACTGGCTACAGTGTTACACCAAATTTTGAAATCAAATCCCATTTATTACCGTCTAACATAAATGTTGCCATTTGACGTTGCCTGGCCACGGTGGGAATCCAACCTACAGCCTTTGGAATACTAGCCCAATGCTCTGCCAACTAAGCTGGCGGTCAGGTCAGTTCGAATATGTGATATTTCGGAACTGAGTCTAGTTTCTTTGATATCAATGGAATCCAGTAATCATGACTCATGGTGAATATCAGAATATGATGTTTGTGATGTTACCCTGAGTATATATACACACCGGGCAAGCTTGAGAAATATGCCTGGCCAAACCCCAACCTGCCTGCGTAGCTCAGTTGGCAAAGCATCGGGCTGGTATTCCAAAGGTTGTAGATTCGATTCTCACTGTGGCCAGGCATATTTGTCAAGCTTGCCTAGTGTGGATATACACTCTACACTCATTTGAGCAATAATAAATTATTGCTCAAATGATTGTATTTTTGAGTCTACTAGTTAGGCCATTCTGACATATAAATAGACAGTGCATGTCAGTGACTCAGTGTTGGGAGTATGTTATGACATAGTTATGTTCTAGTGAATTGTATCGTACTAATGTACCAAAGTAACCAAACTGACGTTGCCAGTGTAAATTCTGTTTTATTTACTCCAAAAGTTATTTAAACTGGCAATTTTTGAAAAGTTTGAATTCTCGAGCTAGTCTAGCTATGAACTACAACCACAGAGTAAGGAACTACAACAGTAATATTAAAAGTATATTACGTATTACTCACACTGCATCACGCACACAAATTTCAGGGAATAGGATTAGTTGGATTGGAAATAAATTATAGTAATAGTGGGTTGTGATTTCCTTGAGATTGTTGCAGGCTCTTCTTTGAGATGAGCCTGTATGAGAAGATAGGTGGATCCAGTGTCAAAGACAATGTCCGCGACGTAATGAGCAGGTAGTTACAGTTTCATCAGTGTACAGTATGATAATTCTGGAGCCTGTTATTTCAACCTGGGTTTTGTGTGCCTCGTAGCAAAAACGTAGGTCTGGTTAATTTTTTTAGAAACGTTCATGCTTGAGAGTGATATTTTTCGTCAATTGCAGCGGTACACAAGGCACAAACATTCATTAAATGTTGTATAAACTTTGAAACAAACCGGTTATACTCTACATAACTAGTATAGAACTATCGCCCTGAACTGGGTCCGAAAAATTGCTACTTTATCGCTTCCTTTATTTAACACTATATCTGGGGGATATCTTGTCACGATGAGCTCTGTTTTCTGTGCATGTTCTTTACGAATAAACGAGTCAGACACCACTTGGAATAATTATGGCAATGTGCGTATTGCATAACGCACATGCCGGTTTATTAATTTTGTAATCAATGACATAAATTTAACATAACAAATTATTAACCAAAGTAATTCATTAACAGTTAGCACAGAAAAGGTGGGGGTAAAAACGCCCACAACTAACAGTAACAACTATAATAACTAATATACAATATACAAGTAGAATAGTCTTGCGTTCAGAAAAACGGGGAGGAGGGTGGGGAAAAACTTGACTTTAAAATACAGACGACTTTGCGCTACCAAAGCGAAGAGCAGAATGAACCAGATGCGCATTCTGCTATAGATATGTATCACCTCTCCCTTCCGTTTTCCTGCACGCATTACATTCATGTGATCAGAAAATTACGGGGAAAATACCCATGTGTCCCATGTCAAGTATGTCTATTTATATATCCTAAGCTCAGGAAGCAATAAAATCTTCATTGGTATGCCAATAATTCCTTTATCGCTTCCTTTATTTAACACTATATCTGGGGGATATCTTGTCACGATGAGCTCTGTTTTCTGTGCATGTTCTTTACGAATAAACGAGTCAGACACCACTTGGAATAATTATGGCAATGTGCGTATTGCATAACGCACATGCCGGTTTATTAATTTTGTAATCAATGACATAAGTTTAACATAACAAATTATTAACCAAAGTAATTCATTAACAGTTAGCACAGAAAAGGTGGGGGTAAAAATGCCACAAGTCTACTTGGGTAAAGAAGACATACCCCACCCCAGCGTGACAAGGCATCGACAGATAAAGTGATTACAGACCGATGAAACAAGCAAGCAACAATTCTACAAAATTGAGTGATAGTATTGGCAAATATTAATTAAACTGCTCATAATATAAAAGGGGGTGTTAGCTATACCCAAACAATTCGTGCCCCTGCGTTGAACTGCCAGGTATAACCACCACCGACAAGACAAAAGTGTTCTGATAGCCTTGCCCCTGCGTCAGCATCACAGAACACTCTAAAGCAGTATGTCGCATATGGTAACATGCATCATAATAATCATTGTAGTCAAGTCTTGCCCCTGCGTCAACTTGACCAGTCAGATGTGCACGGAAGCGGAGTTTGCCAAAATATTAAATGCTTATTGACAGCCATGATCAATCCGGTGAAAAAGACAAACAACCAAACTCGGCCTATCTAGGCAAAGCGGTTGAGCACAGGCCTGGACCTCGAATATACTTACGAAAGGCGTCGGATTTCCACCGACCCATTGATCGAATTTGGGCATCAGAAAAACCGCATTCCGCAGCAAATGTTGCCGCGCCAATGCGGAAACTATGTCCTTTGTATTTAGTTGGATCGAGACCACATGTCTTGAAAATGAGTGCTAAATAGTCAGTAAAAAGTTTGCGTGAAACCGCGTGGCCCTCGTGCGTTCGAAAAAGCGGGCCATCCGACAAACCCCGGCGTGAAAAATAATCCAGTAAGCTCTGCACTGGGCATATATCTGAACGACGCTTAAGAGCGATTGATACATTTGTTTGGTTGTAAGAATGCTTAAAATCAAAAAATGTGATTTTCAGTCCAATTACGCCGCCTGAATGGTCAACAAGTTGGACAATCTGATTTAACTGAAGCACACTCGATGACCTGGGACAACAAGTGATTTCCCCAACACGTAAAAAGGCAAAAAATGCCGTTGTACACATTGCTTTAAACATATACGCACGGTATTCGCTCGCACATATGGTTGATGTTTGTTGCAACACCGTGCGAAGGATAGAAAGAGTTATGGGCATGCGTGTATCCAAGCGCGACCCAAGTTTGCCATACCCTTTCAACATTTCAATCACCCAAAAGACCCTAGTGGGGTCTGGCACGCCTGCAAGGCGATGATAATAACCCAGTGCAGAGACATACGTGTTCGCAGTCGAAGCAGCATAATTGCGCTG